AATGTTTATATTGTTATTTTCTATAAAATTCAGCATGCAATTTTAGAAACAATAGAAATGTCATTGAAGCACAAACTGCATCATATTAGATTTGGCATAAATGTTGTGAACATTCAGATTGTTACCTAATGTTTGAACTGTTCCAGTTCTTTGTTATCAATATGTACTTTAATTTAAATGCACTTTTCAAATCATTGCTTTTTACCCCAAATATGAAGTAGATGAAAATGCTTTTCCACATGAGCACTTGCTATTAGAGCTACAATATATATTTTGCATTTTTATGGTGCAAAGTGGAGATAAACATTTGTCGCACCAAATGCAACGTAAGTTCTCACTAAATCATTTGTGCCAAAAATGTGAGAATATCTTGACAATGAAGAGCATGGAGTGATGGCTATGGAGGGATTCATTCTGTTATCTAACATTTAATCATAAAACAGTAGGTGGGGATAGTATTTCTTGCATTCCTTGCACAAATTAAATTCCTTTGGACCGCATAAGAAGCTTTGGGGAGCAAAGAAAGCAACATCAGACCCTTAGCTTATCATTGCCCTTTATTTCTCAAGACATTTGAGCAGACTTAAGTTCATGAGGCATCTATAAGGGCCTGCCCTATACACAAAGAAATGGCAGTTCTGTAATGCACATGCAGAAAAGTGCAAGGTGTCTGTGCAGTGGACAGGCTGAGAGCTGTGCTTCCAGAGAAAATCAATGTGCAAATGAAATGCAGGGCTGGACATGAGCTCTTCTTAGGGCAGAAGTACAGGAAAACACTTTTTCTTAAGCCTAGGATAAAATACTTTTTTATCCTAAGAAGAGCCACATGGAACATGTGAGAGTTGTGCCCAAAGCTTTCCTTACAAATTGAGAGAAAAATTGCTGCACCCGTGAGGAATAATCAGCACTAGCTTTGAAAGGGACTGGACAACTTGAGAACTTGTATCCTCTCTCCATCACAGGATAGAGACATCAACCCTTGCTAAGCTGGCAAGCTGTTAGCTAGCAAGATCAATTTAATGTGTAACAGTCAACACAGGTATTGGGTTTCACCTGCTCAAAAGAGATGCTCAATTTGAGCACCATTTGCTGCTGCATCACAATCTTAATGATGCTGCTTTGTAATGAGTGATCCAAATAGTTCATTCAAAGTGGAATGATTTTAAGTAACATACAAAAGCATCTTTGGTCTTCCTTATCACTGCCAGGTATTTTGTATGCACATATAATCTGCAGGTTAATTTTTTTCCCCCAGCAAGCTGTCTTGGGAGCAAAAAGGAAGCAAAGAAATGGCATCCTGAAAACATGTTTGCTGGTGAGACAGTGGTGGCCCTTGACTCAGAAGTCAGCTGAACTGAACAGTGTCATGACCCTGGCTGTGCATCAGCTCTAAGTGGTGTCTGCACTATGACTTGACAGCTGGGCCTGTGGCAGAATTGATTTCAACTCTTTGGCTTGCTGAGAAGAGCTGGGCCATGAGAACAGGTAGTCACAGATTAGTCCCTGGGGTGAGCACTGTAAGAAGGAGCAGGGACATCAAGAAAACCCTTGGTTGCACTACATCCATACAGACCAGCTCTCCCTGATGGCAGGTGCTTTCCCTCCTTATCCTCTTACTCCAGCCCTTAGTCTGCTCAAGTTGAGCAGGGCTCACTTGCCCTTGGGCTGAGGAAAAGCTGCCACAGCAACTTGGTGTGGACCTCAGGGCAAAGACAGCCAAGCCAACACTTAGGGCATTTGGTGTTGAGCAGGGCTCACTTGCCCTTGGCCTGAGGAAAAGCTGCCACAGCACCTTGGTGTGGACCTCAGGGCAAAGGCAGCCAAGCCAACACTTAGGGCATTTGGGAAAATCAGACCTCTTTGTCAGTCCATAGGGTAGTGGAGAAAACACAAGTTGATATGTGTGGAAAACCAGGAATTTCTGTCCCAAACTACACTTCCTAGTGTAGGTTGGCTCCTTGCTGTAACACCTGACAGGCTAGAGGCTTGCCTGCTGCATCAGCATGGGAACACAGATCACAGACATGAAAATCTAGGACTTTAACCAGGGTCAGTGAGGATAATTTTGATGGTGACTGGAGAGGTGTATAGAGACTCATTCAGGTGGGTACAGGGTTGTAAGAGGACTGAACACAGACCATGTTAGACATGGACCACCAATGGGTTCTGTATTCATGGCTTTCTGGGAGAAGGTCAGAGTTCCAACAGGAATTACTTCCAGTTTAGAAGGCACAGATGTTTCATAAAACATCCCAGCTTTGGGATGAGTAAGCCAGACAGAAGCCTACTGACTATGGAATTAATAAGAGGTAACTACAGCATCCTGGTGAATGGTTTTCATTCAGGCCATGCCTCTCTGCAGCTCTGCCAGAGAGCCCTGGGGTGACTGCTGCCCACAGAGCTCTTCCCTGGCAATCTTGGTGGGAGGGCAGAGCACCCAGGGGACACTGCCTCCTTGCCTCTCACTGGAAGAGCTGTCTGGGCAAGGTGGCTTGATCTCCCCAGGTCCAGGCAGAGCTTCTGTACCCTTCACTGGAAAATGAAGGAATATTAGGAATGAAAGCTAAGCCCTATCCCTAGGATAGCACTAGTCCCTAGTCCCTCACCCTAGGATGGTGTGAATCCTGGTAGCCCTGGTGTGTGGAGAGTGCTAACAGATACTACTCCAGGCTCCCTTCTGATGCCTGGAAGCACTCTCTGGAGTTAACTGAGTGTCTTCATCATTTCACAGATGAAAAAACTGAAGTGCTGGGGGTAAAGTGATCAATGTGAGGTGGCTAAGTGAAACAGCAGGCAGTGCTGGGGGTAAAGTGACCAATGTGAGGTGGCTAAGTGAAACAGCAGAGCTAAAAGAATCATAGAATCATAAAAATTTAGGGGTTGGAATGGACCTTACAGATCATTTAGTCTCAACCCTCTGCCATGGACAGGGACACCTCTCCACTAGACTAGGTGAGAAAACTCAGGTGAGAGTATCTATTGACAAGGAAATGTGCCTCCTTTCAGAAAACCTTCACAAGACCTTACTGAACCCTTTGCAGGTTACTTGCAAATAAATTTCAGGAGGTCTACAGAATATTCTGGTGAATTAGAATGTGCAGATAGAACTGAAGCAAAACAGAGGGGCAGCTGTCAGACCTGGGCACATGCCAATATGTGAATCAGATGTGTTACAGCATGTAATTCTGCCCTTCCTGAGAGCAGCATGTCTCATGTGTTGTGGTTGGCAGGGGCTGGAACTCCACATCTGGCCTTTGGGAATGTGCTGCCATGGCACTGCGTTTCACAGGACTTGTTAAGGGAGAAATCTATCTGGTTTGGTCTGTCTTCCTCTGTACAAGGTGTCATGTGAACTGGGCAGAACCTCTGTCTCTAGCTGGGTATTTTGGCCTTAAAGCTCTTTAACAGCAGAAAAGTAAGAGAAGGAAGGAGACACTGTCTGCCTATCTGGTTCCTTCTCTAGGCAGGGTGTGATTACTTGTTATAGCATTTCTACTGTTGTCCCTTCTAGTAAAATATACCTCATATGCCTGGTTGTTACCACTCGACTTGTGTGTCGAGGCTACCACCTGGCAGATCTCATTGTCAAGGAAGTTCTCAATATTTCAGCCCAAGAATCACTTTTTAAAGTTCTGTTCCTACTTATACTCCCTAATTCAATGCTCTATTTCTTTTTTCTTACATTACTTTTTTTCTGGGTTTTGGTTGGTTGGTTGGTTGGTTTTTGGTTTGTTTGGGTTATTTTGATTTTTTAATTGCAAGGTAGAAAGACATTGATAATATTTCAGAATGACCAGTTCTCTGTCCCATGGTTTCCTCAATACTGTGAACCTCCTGCAGGTTCATACACTCCCATGCCTTTCCTGATGCAGCATTGACTAACTAAACCAGGAATTATATCCATCCCTCTCCCCAGTTCCTTCAAATTTGAGCTTAATGTTATGGAAGCAGAGCCCAGCAAGGTGTGTCAAAGCAGCAGAGAGTGTACAGTCACTCAGTGTTGGGACCAGTTTGGTTTGGGGTTGATATGAGTGCCATGCAAGCTGGTGCTTCTCAGTGGAAAGGAGAACAGGGCTAACTAGCAATCAGATAATTCACTTTGCTACTGTCACAAAAATTACTTGCAGTGTCTCTGCTAACTCAAAAACCTCCTGGTTATAGTTACACAGTCTGGAGGTTATCTAAGCCTAGTTTTTTTCACTGCTGGTTTTTAAACTGTTCAATAAAAAGAATGTTTGAACCTATCTATGGAGCAGACACGGCTCTCTCTGCCAACCACTGCCAGCGATGAGTTCCTGCCCGGGAAGCCACTAGCATTTCACTTCTACTGGAACTAAATTGTTAGAGAAAAAGCAGGTCATCTCTTCGTGATGCACCACAGGAAAAACGTGTTAGCTGCCAGCGAAACCCATCGCAAGAATGGGAGAGTCAGGAGGGTGCAGACTTGGTAAAATCTTGACAAGGGGATGAATATAGAGCTCGGACCATAGGAACCTGCTATAGTGAACCCTGTTTCTGAACAGTATCCTTCTTACTAAAAAAAGGAAATGAATAAGTCATTAGTTGCTAATGCAAATTTTTCAGAGGCACAACAACATTACTTTGTGCAAAGAACAATACAGAAGAATCTTTTGTAGCTTTGAAAGGATATAAATCAGCCTTATGTGGCAGCACAGCGTGGAACAGGAATATCCTTTCTTATGTCCCAGCACAATAGTCTTTTAACAATCATTGCTGCATTACAGGACCACACCAATACTTGGTGCTGATAAAGCCCCACTTTCCCTCCTGTATTTTTCCACAATGCACAACATATCCCCCTGCTGTGCCACTTATTTCGTGTCTGTCTTAACCACTGACTGTTGCAGTCAGGGCAGAGCATTAGGAAAGAAGGGTTCCCTGGGCCACAATGGTTCTTACTGAGCTTAACACTCATGCCATGCTGCAGAAATTTCAGTGCTTTCTGAGATGAGGTGGGATGAGGTGAAGCTGATACTCACAGGACGACTTCTACGTGGTCCAAAGCCCACTGATCATGACCTGTCCCGTTGTGACGGGGCTGCCACCAGCGCAGTAAGACTCCTTTCATTCGTGCCTCCCTGTCAGCACAAACACAAGAGCCTGTGAGAGCTCCACACTATGGCTGTTTTGCACATCCCTATCTACCCCCCACACCAGTACTGAGAGCAAAGTCAAATCACTGTTTCTACAGCACTGAACATCAACATGCTGCAAGTGTACAACATTTAACAGCTAAAAAATGCACACAGGTAAGGAGGATTTCCCCCCTCATATCTTCAAAACAAATATTTTTTCTATTTTTCTTTCAATTTTCTTTCATTCCTAGGCTGGAATTTCTCAATCAGCCTTCCCCTTAAGTTTTCTCCTTTGTTTACTCTCTCATCAACCTGTTTTTCTTGCACAGTGATGCAGAGATACATTTCTGCTAAGAAATAATCTATCTTGTGCACTTAGAGGTAATGAAATGTGACTGGGTACTCACAGGGGAACGTTATAAGACACTCTTTGGGCTTGTATAAAGTCCTTTGGCTGATGCTGTGCAATTACTTGCCATGTAATTCCATTATTTACACTGTATTGGAGGAGCACTGCCTTGTCCACAGTGTTAGGATCACTCAGATTGGTATTACAACTGTCTGTTTGTGAAATACTTCCAATTTGCAAAACAAACATGATTTTGCTGGAAAACACACAGAGAAAAGGTATTTTCAATATGCAAAAAGATTCAAACAGGAACAAGAGCATTTCCAGGTTTATTGCAGTTACCTTACTCAAACTTAGAGTATTCTCAAGGCTTGTTACTTTAACAGGCAAAATAAACTTTTCTTATGTCTTTAAAACACATTTCCCCTTTGAAAGTAATAGTTTGCTTTGTATAAATTAGTGACATATAGTTGGAGGCAGTAGACCTGATTTTGCAATATGTCTGCACAAAACTGAGAGAGAGAAACATGTAAACATGCAAATGAGTGTATGAGAAGTTTAAAAAGGACAAAGAAAGACTGAAGATGATAAAGTGCCTAAAAGATATATCATATTCTACCTGGATGTTCAATTAAGAAGAGCCTGATTTATATCTGTCCCATTGGTTAATTCATCCTGTTTCTAATCTTGCTTTAGACAACTAAATATAAACCAGCCCTAAAAGCTGTCACTCTGTTAAGAGCCAGCACAGGCTGGCTGCATTTGTTTTTCCACGGCCAAGGAGGCTCAGTAGATGAAAAAGATACTCCTGTTCATTACCAGGTGACTATAATTCTATTTGACAACTGAAATGGGACAATGGGCCTTTAATTACTAAATAGCATCTTCAGCCATAACCATTGTGGAGGCACATACAAACATGGGATTTGCCTTATCAGATCAGGCACTGGTCCAGGCAGTCTGGTGTCCAGTCTTTGCCAACAGCTTCATTGTCAGTGCTGGCTTACTAGACAGTGCTCTGTTGGGCATGATGAAAACATCTGACCTTTCCATCTGACATCACTTCCTCCTCACTCTCCATCTCCCAAATCAAAGTCACAAAGCATTTTGCCAAGCCTAATGTTTTCTGCCAGCCACATCTGACTGCATGGCACAGCCAAAGCAGGCCATCCTCATCGGTACTCACCTACATGACCACACATATGTAAGGAGAGTTGCCTTTCTCATGAGCTGCTAAATGAGCATTTTAGGCTCAAACTATTACCTTGCTCGGGTGAGATCCAGAGGCTTAGTCACAGCTTGTCGTACTTGGCATCCATTAAAATAAAGCGAATCTCCGTGGGCGTAGGGTGCCAACTGTCCACAGCCATTCCCTATCACTCCTCCCTGAATGGTTTCCCAGTTTATTTCAGTGACTCTTTCAGATTCAAAATTATCTTTAATATAACTGGGCAGATCGTGGCTAAAAACAGAGCAGTCATCACCTAAAAATGACACAATGAACTTGTAAAACATACAAAAATCAAAACGATTGAGAAAATTGAGTTACAGGTCATTGTAACTCCATTCAAAGTTGTGTCTCAACATACAGTGCAAGTACAGGCTGAATATAATTCAGCAGATCCATTAACAATGTGCACTTTGATGTACAGCCTGCATTTTTAGTAAATTGAGGCTATGAGTCTTATTTTTTACAGCAGTATAACTCCAAGAACTGCAATACAGTTTCTCCTGTTTTACCTTGGTGCCAATAGGAGAAACCTGAAATTGCTGGTTGAAGGCAAATACATCTAAAACAGGCAAGGGATCTGATCTTATAAAGTTATGAGACATTCCTGGAAGACATTAAACACTGGCTCCACTCCCACAAAGCACTTACAGTTTGCTAAGGTTACTCAGATACCATTAGATACGACTCAGATACCACTCATACCTCAGATCTGCTTAGCTGCATTGAGGGATTGGGGCAGAACACTCTGTCCTGACAGGGCACAGAATGGAGTCCCTTACAGATGCCAGTCACCAACATGTGGATCCCATGTAGGCATAGAATCACAGAATCAGTTAGGTTGGAAGGGACTACCTCCCTACTCCAGCAGAGCCACCCTAGAGCACATGGCTCAGGATTGTGTCCAGACAGTTTTTGAATACCTCCACTGAGGGAGAAATCATCCTTTAGGATGCACCCATGAAAGGAGTACAGGGGTAGAAGCCATTTCTAGGTAAGCAAGTAGACATGTCCTACCTTCAATAAAGGCTGGATGGACTTTACATACAGTGCCAGCCAGGAGAGACTACTGACTCAATCCAGAAAGAGCAGGGGGAGGGAAAAGATGTTATTTGCAGCTCAGACAAATTATTCATTTAGGATTTGTTACTCAAACATTCCAGTGATGAATTTCGACATGATACATCACTTTGTGTTTTTGTTGAATTTTGAGCTAGATTAGATGTACAAGAGAGAAACTGAAGGAAAGAAACCTTGGTATCCTTCGTCACAAATGCAGATGGCTCCAGTCGTGCAATACCCGCGGCCACTGCAGAGCTTAGGACAGGCTTCCCCAATGTACACGTGATCGATTGCCCAGCTTTGTTTCTCCAGTTCTTCTCCCTTCTGAATCCATCTGAACTGAGTTGCACTGCAGAGACCCAAATCCAAACACTGTATTAGGATATCTAGCAATTAAACACATCTGCACAGTGATGTTCTAATACACCAGCAGCCAATGTCATGAAAAATGTCATATGAAGGGGCTGTGACTTCAGTAACTGGAAAGACCCACCCTGAATAGGTGGCCATTACCATCATTGGCAGTAGCAAGTTCTATGAACAAAAAGCTTCTGGAAAAACATTAATTATGCATCAGATCTAAATCCAGCAATAAAGAATGATTTTTAATTCATCAGTTGTTCCAAGCAATCAGTGCCAGCAAGACAGCTGATGTTTTATAGGCCCACAGTGAGCTGACCTTTCAATAACCTACCTGGATGAGACATGGTCAGGCAGCTGGATAGTTATTCTTCTCCACATGGAGCTGTTGACAGAGTTATAGATGGTAGCTTCATGGAATTGAAATGGGGAGCAGCCAATGCTATTCGATGAGGAAGGAAGACAATGTGTCTGGACGAGTTGCCATGAGTCTGTCCTGTAGGAAGGAAAAAAAGAGATTTTAGAACAACTGAAAGAATAATGAAAGGAAAACAAGCAATTTCAAAGGATCGTGGCATTGCCTGTTTACTAAACAAACACAAGAGATTGTCAGCAACAGTTTCCATGCTCTGGAGCCACAAATAAACCAGAGGTGAGAGGCTAGTGCAGGTGCAGCCAGGGAGGACTTTCCAGCATGCGGTTTCAGTGCTGCAAAACCCTTTGTGGTGATGCTCACAGCAGAGTATGGTATACACAACTCCTCTGTGCTGCATGACAGAAGGATTTATTTAGGAGTCTGCTCCTTAGCCTCTCTCTTACAGTGTTCAGAAGAGTCCCAATAGAATTTGCCACATTTTCACCCACAGTCATTTGAGCACAGAATATATTTGTTTTTACAAATCATAATGCTCTGCTATACTACAGCACAGAAGACACTCACATTAATGTTTTGCCAGTTAAAGACCAATTTGGAGTTAAGTAACTCCCACTTCATTACAGCTTGGTCCTGTATCATATTAAAACAACAGTTTCCTGTGAATGTGGTTTCCTGTGAGCACATTTTTAACAGGAACAAGCTCCTGACTGTAACTGCAAGCTGAGTGCCACGAGTCTGTCAACATCTGGGATAAATTATAAAGAGAATTTATGGGAGCTATGTAGACAAATCCCAGTGCTTGCACACAGGCTTTGTTCAGATCCTGTTACAGCATGAATAGCAAAGTAATTGTTTTAATAAATAAAAGCTCCCTAGGTTTTTTAATGCAGTACTTTTTTTTTTGGTCTGTGTATTCTGCTGTCACTTACCTGGCATCCTTTGTATACTCCAGCATCACTGAGTGGAGGTCCCCACAAGAATTTGCCTCACAGCCAACCACGATCTATAGCACAAATAGAATCAACTGCTATAACAAATCAGGTAGCCCTTTAATGTGACATATAATGAAGTTATGATCTCCTTTTCTTTCCAGGATGTAGAAAAGATTGTCAACATAGAGCTTGGACAAAATCCATCAAAAGTGAGTGGAAAACAAATACTTCAGATACTGCTTTTACTTAATGAGTTTTACTTCCTCGCTACTGTTATTTTCAAACAGAATCCTAACACTACAGTCCTAAAGCTCAAATTAAATAGATTAACAAACATTGGCTCTGAAATGCAAAGATGTGCTAGGTCTTTGGCACCTCCAGAAGTCAAGTGCCTTTGAAATTTATAATTCACAATGATAAACATGTGGACATGAAGTCAATCTAAGAACATTTAAAACAATAGACATATTTTTGTCGTATAAGAGTGGAAAGATAACAGTAACCAATGTAAAATAAAGTACTCAATAGATAACACGAAGCTAAGTTTCAAAACCAAACAGACACCATGCTAGAGCTGAATCTTTAGCATAGAAATGTAATCTTTGCTGTGACTGGTGAAGGAAAAGTGGGAGAGAATCAGGAGAGAAAAACTCTGCCATAAGAGTTGAGTCCTATTAAATGCTGACAGGTTATCACAATTTTGGCCTTAAAATAAAGGAAAAGGTGATAGGCTGGGTAAAATAAGCAGCTTGAGGAGGGTCTTGAGTAGTAAAAAGCACGTGAGACTCCTCTTTTGTAGAATTTCTTTGAGGGTGGCATGATGTGTGAGTGGGGGAAACAGAGCTTTAGGGATTATATTAGACAATCAATATAATACAGGCAACGATGTTGAGGAAAGGTGAAAATATTGATCAGTGGAAAGTGGAAAATTCCAGAACAGTCTTGGCAAACAGAAGAACAAGGCAAAAAAACACAACAAGAAAATGGATGACTATTTTGACAACCTTACTTTCATATTAGTTCCTGGTTTATTTAAGACAAGGTGCTTGGGGAATGGCCTAGAACATTTGTGGAAAACAACTACTTGTTGCCTTTGGCCTTCTGCAGAATTCTCCTTTAAACCAAAGTAAAAGACTCAGCAAAGTTTCTCAATTATTTAGATCATTTGCCATGACATATGTAAGTAGAAGAGGTACTTATGCTTGAACCCTCTTGCCTTTTCCATACAAGACTCTTCTCCAGCCTTCCTCTCCCTTGTCTCTTCTCCTTATTCATGAATCAGGGGAAAATGGCATATTCTGCATGCCATCTATTCTCACCTTAGAAAATAATTCATACTGTGTCTGATGATTTGGCAATTTCAGGACAAAAGGATTAGACTTCCAACCCCTCTGAGTAACCCCCAAAGCATACAGACAGTCAGAATAATTTGACATTTAACATTCATGCAACCTTTCTGGTTCTCATTATCTACACTTCAAATTTTCCTTTAATTTCCTTAGTAAAAAGTCATTATTAATTATTCATCCAGTTGTGCATCTTAGTTGGAAGAAGAATAATTTCTGGAGACAACATTAGATGGCTTTTCATTGTGTATTTTACTTTGGAGAGAAAGAACATTTCTTACTTTAAACTGCATCATATATCCTGGCTGTATAATGAGCTCCCTGGAGGACAGGATGTTGTGTGTTTTGTCCTTCTTCTTATTCGGCCAGTAGAGATGGAAGGATGGATTTCCACAGAACCCTGCAGTCCTGACTGCATTAGGGTAAAAGCTCCAGTTTTCTTCATGAGAGGTCCCTTCTGTTAAGATGAATTAAATACAATTACTGCATTGTCTTGTTAACTGTCAAAGTAATGAATCCACAGAATCACTAGATACAGAACCTTAGTGATACGGAGACTAAACCTATGCTATCTGTAATGATACACAGGAAGTTACTAACAGACATCACACCTCACTCCAGAGAGGTAATTAAAATGTTTAAATAATAGCAATTAAAAAATATAGATAAACCAAAACTTTACTACCATGAATTTAAATGATATGAGTTGGACAGGAATAAAAAATGTTGTCTTTCTTATAGGTGTATGTGTATCTATATAGGTGCACACATACATATCTGACTATACATGTGTCTAAATACCTATATTTACACACCCCTATTAGTAGCATAAAGAATAGCATATAAACAGCATTGGTCTACAAAATAATGGTCTGAGATACAGATAAGATGTCAGGAAAAGTGTTTTTGCTGCTTGGGTGTTCAGGCACTGGAATACTGCCCAGGGAGGTGGTGGAGCCACCATGCCTGGAAGTGTTGAAGAGGTGTCTGGATCTGACACTGGAGGATATGGTTTGGGGTTTAGGGGTTCCAGCAGTGACAGGTTAATGGTTGGACTCAATGATCTTAGGGGTCTCCTCCAACCCTGATGATTGTATGATTCTACAAAAGCTTTGCAGAATTCAAATAAAAGAAAGTCTGCCTGCAAGCTCACAGGACTTGTCTTGGATAACATAATGCCAGGCAACAGATTAGCTGTCGCAGCCTGTCTTACCGTCATCGAACGTATCGACCAGCTGGCTGGGGTTGATCTCTGCTCCTCCAATCAGGATGTTGTCCAGTGCCCACTGGGCCCTGTCAGGGCCTGACACAACAATCCCGTTGCTGATGGTGAAAGGCTGCCACCAGCGCAGCCGCGTCGTGTTGGTCAGAGCGTGTTCGGGGAGGAGGATGTAGTCGTGCCTAACTGAGATGTATTTTTGGTAATCCATCTCATGAAGCAAAGTCCAGGATATCCCTAGAGTGAAAAGATGCAGGTTCAGTAATAAAAACAAGCATATGGTAGAATCTTCTAAAAGGTTAAAGTGAGATAACAGGAAATAAAAAAATAATAGCTATGGTCTTCTGATAGACAAATCTGAATTCCTAAGGATAGCTGGCAAGTGTTACTCATTGCAAGAGTAATCTTGTAATCGTATAAAGGAATCAAATTGGCTAGAAGCCACAGATTACTGAAGTCAGGCAGGAGGATTATGGAAAACTCCTGAGCAATAGATGGAGATTTTAGATGGGGGGAAAAAACCTCACACAGAAAAAATAACTTTACAATTAAAAATTAGCTTATTATTTTGGATCTCTGACAACTTCTCAGATATTCGTGGTGCTGGATACAGAAAAAGACTCAGCTGAAACTACACGGTGTACTTGCCTCCGTCAATGGAATAGTCTAGCAGCACTCCCTCCTTTCTGCAAGTTGGTCTGTGGCATGTTGTCATGTTGTTTTCACTCCCAATTCTCCCCCAGTACTGTAGAAACCTAAGAGTAAATGTATATGGTTACATCTGTTCCAGAACTGCACAAATCAAGAGGTTCCTGTTAACAAACATGCTGAAAATGTTCCCAGTGCCAGCATCTTTAAGCAAGTAATATTGATGTACAAGTACTATAACGGCTTCTGAAAATATTGCAGGTCTTGTATAGGCACCCAAGAGAAGACAACCAGCAGAGGTTATGCTCTGAACTCAGTGAGAGACAGAGCTGGTGCCTCCAGGAGCGATGCCCAGGTGACTGGTATCTTGCCTCTTTGCAGGACAGCAGTTTCTGTCTCTAGGACATTCCTGAGGAGAGTAACCTGCTGCTTCATAGAATCATAGAATCAACC